CTAGGGATAAGGAAAGAGGGAAAGCTGAAGACAAGGGCACAGATAAAGTTAGGTTGGCTGGTGGGTGGGAAAGAGAAGAAAGCAGGAAAAGGGGAGGGGATATGGGGACTTTCAGGGAAGGGAAAGAATGGAGGAAATAGTGCAGGAGGGGGATACAGGGTAAAATGAGATGCCCTTTGCAAGTCCACCATTTATCTTTATTTCAGCAACTAACTAAATAAGTAGTCATCAATATGGTTAAATTTAAATTGTTTTATAATAACTGATGGTGAAGGAATATTACTAAAATATGGTTATAAAAAAGGAATAACACAGTTTTCATACTTTATGTTTTGTGCCTGATGGTGAAAACTGGTGTTGAAGCTTTCTTCTTGGGTCTTTTTCATTTAACTCATATGTTTATGTCAAAAACTTAAGGAATTGTGGTATTTTTACCCCTACATGTAGAGCCAATATACATATTTTCCCCTTTTGACCTGGTTAGAAATGCTTTTCACATGAGCAAGCAAGAAATAGATCAATACTTCACTTTTAGGAAACCAGTTTCTGAGAACTTTATGCACACAAAAGTAATATTTCCTGTAGTCTTTGGAATTTCTACAAGCAGATTCCTTTCAATAGATATTAGCAGGCATTTTAAAATGTCAGCAGGTACCCCATGAACCAGTGCTTGTTCTCAAGCAGTTAAAAGTAAGATCCAACTTGTTCCTTTATATTGGGGAAGGATTTGGTCTAGCTTTATTTTTATACACTAAATTAGTTATGTTTACATTTAGGAATGCACAGGAAATTTAATGTTAACACTTCCTAAAAATGGGCTGTATCCTGATTACATTCTCCACTAATGGAGAGGGAGGGATAAGTTTTGCCAATTCCCCCTTTCCTGCTGCAACCCCCAGTTTGCCCGTCATGCCTTTCTTGAGGGTCACCTGTGCCCCATGAGCAGCATTTGAGGGAGATCAGTTGGCTGCAGCCAGAGGGGGCAGCAGGAAAATTCTGGATCCAACCCAATTCAAGCTAGAAAAAGAAAGTTTTGTGGGGGGAGGTGAACAGTGATTTTCATGTGTGAAGAAATGCCTTTTTTTATTTGGAGGTTTGAAATGAGCAAGACCTTCATTATGAGTTTTAAAAGTTTTGTGTTTGTTTTTTTTTCTGGGCAGAGAACAGGCTGGAAGAGGGGAAGTCAGTCCAATTGCTTTCCAGCTTACCTTCATACAAATGCTAATAGATCTAGCAGGAAAGATAATGGGTGGGTCAAGCTCCCACATCTTCCAACTAGCTTCCTTGACCTGGCCAAGTCAGTGGGAGGGGAAAAGAGAGGTGATAAAACTCAGGGGAGCGAGGAGGAAGCTCTTTCTTTTGTGTTGAGTCCATAAGAGGAGGCAGCCATTGACCATGTTGCTGGCCTAAAGAGCTGGAGAAAGCTGCAAGGTAATTGAAACTCTGTAGATGTGTGTAACTTCCTTAGCAAAAGGAGCCTGTCCTATTTTAACGTCTGATAGGGCATGTATAGAGAGAGGGACAGAGGAACTGCATTTACCTATTTCTTTTGAATCCCTTACTCAATCTGGTTCTTTGCTAAAAGTATGCTTGTGAACATTATTTTTTAAAATAAATACTTTATAACTTTTGATGATGGTAGTGGTTTGCTGTACCATGGCCCCGGTCACATGAGAGGATTTGGGCCGGGAGAGGGACGGATCGGGGGCGGAGCAAATGGGCGCGATCCCACCGCAACATCTGGGAAGCGTTGCATGCCCGTCCCTGATCCAGCCCTTCCGACGATGACCTGCAGCAAAAAAGAACCACCTACTGAGGTGGTTCTTTCCGAAAGGCCGCATCAAAGCCTGCCGTGGGATCGCTGGTGCGTTCTTCTGCCGGCGCATCCCCGGCTCCTGGCCAAACTGCGCATGTTCAGACATGCGCAGTTTAGCAGCCTCCCGTGGCTTTCTCCCCGGTCTCCCTGGCATCTGATCGTGCCGGGGAGCAATTGCACGGCGGCTCACGGAATCTGTATGATCCCGCTGCCACGTGCATATTTTGGTGCGGCTTTTAAAAGCCGCACTTTGCCTGTCCTTTTTTTCCCTCGTGTGGCAGGGACCCATATAAACCTTCACCATTTCAGACATGCTATTTTGAAAGGAGTGCCAGGGGAAGGCAGGCAGTTGGCCAGTGGCTAGTCCTCCAAGGGTGCACAAGGTAGTAAATGGTCCAAGTGGTGATCAGGCACTGGGCAGTAGGAAACACAGAGTAAAGGCCTCAGACCTTGGAAAGTAAGCTGGGAGTTCTGACTCTCCCAGTGGGCAATTCCCACAAAGGTCAGGTGGTGGTGTTGGCTACCCAAGAGAGAAAGAAAAGCCTCTCCAGGTGTTGGCAACACCTTGGAGGGCAGGGTGGAACAGGGCCTGCAGGCCACAGCAGGCCCATTCCGCCACACCATGTGAACTTGTTTGGTTGCTATCTGCAGGAAATTGTGCTGACCTTAAGGTTTTCTTGTAATAAAGGGGTTTCTTTTTGTAAAACCTTTCACAATCATCCTTGAACACTCGCCCTAGCTTTCTCCACCCCATGTTCTGTTGTGCAGAAAAATTTCCCCCAAAGAAGTTCTTTTTGTGCCTATATTACAAGTACATGTATACTTGCAGTATGTTGAATTTCTATGTATTCCTGTGTTTTTATAACTAAATTCCTCTTATTAAGCTGGTTTCTGAGTCCCTACAGGCAAACATGAAAATTTTGCAGATATATTAAGCTCTATGGGAATATGTTGATCTATATAAGTTTACCCCCCCTTAATTCTCTCTTACTCAACATTTGCCGGCTACATGCATAGATTGGAATGAGGGGGGCGCGTTTAGAGTCCAAACTGGAAATATAATTTTAACAGTATTGGTGCATTATGAAATACTCTATACTTGTCTTGCAATAAACTTTTAGACTAGAGATTTCAGATCCTTGTTCTTACTCAGTGATACAGGAAAACTGCTTTTAAGACCGCTGTGTAGTATGGGAGGAAAGGGGACTGTGATATTTACAGTATGTACAATGCAGAAGTGTGGAGAGACAAGAAGGAGGGGGGGAAGGATTCTTCCTGTTCCGCTATAGCTTTTTTTCCTAAGAAATACAATTTTAAGGAAGGAAAGATAGCAAAGTACTAAAAGTTTTAATGGGCAGAAGGAATATAAAAGAATATCCTATGCTGCCTTTTCAGAGAATAAATTTTTTAAGTGCTCTTTTTATTGAAACGGGTGTGCGTTCAGGTCTACTCAAACTGAAAATATACCCGAAAAACACCATATCGGTATTTTTTTGGGGTATATTTCATCTTCCCAAATGTATCCAGGATTTTTCAGGAGAACCCCCCAAAAAAAAATCCCTGAAAAAATCCTGGATATATTCAGGAATTGCTGGCAAAATCTGTCTGCCCAGCAGAGCCTGCAGGGAGAACTCTCCTTGGAGGCTCGGCTCCTGGGCAGGCTCTGTTGGGCAGTGTGGTCTAAACCCGGCTGCCCAGCAGAGCCTGAGGGGAGAGTTCTCCGAGCAGGATTGGCTCCTGGGTGGGCTCTGTTGAACAGTCCAGTTTAAACTGTCCCAGTGGAGCCTGCATGGAGAGTTCCTCCTGCAGGATCGGCTGCTTGGCATGCTCTTTGGGGCAGTCCAGTTTAAAGGGACTGCCCAAAAGAGCCCCAGATGAGCTGCCTCTCAGCTGTTTTAGTGGCTTTGCGGCTGCTTTTTCCCCCTCAGTGTTTTTTTGGTTTGGGTCTATTGGACCCCCCCAAAATTGGGATATCCAAAAAACCCTGGATCCAAATACTTTACGAGTATTGGGCTCCAGGTTTTCTTTCTCCTTCAGCATCCTCCTTGGGATCTGGGCTTTCTTTCTCCTTCAGCATCCTTCTTGGGATCCGGGTTTTCTTGGGAATTCTGAAATTTTTTCAGGTCCAATAGACCCAAACTGAAAAACCCTGAGGAAAAAGAATCGCACACCCCTAGAAACAGTCAACTAAAAGGCATTTATCAGCAAACTTTATGATCTATCAGTTGTTCTTTATTGCTGTTGCATTTCTAAATTTAGAATTAACCCCGTTTATCCTTTACTTTTCCATGTCCCATAGAGATGGTGTTATGAACAGTGTTTGACATCTTCACTTTCCACATATTTCGATAGAGATGGTGTTATGAACAGTGTTTGACTTCACTTTCCACATATTTCAATACTTTGACACTCTCTGCCAGAATTACTGGTTTTGTGGTTACACTGATATTTGTTGCCCCCCATTCCCCTAGACTGAAATGATTTTATTGTGCAAGTCAATGATCACATTAAAAATTATTACAAAATTGAAATTACCACAGATTGTTTAGAAACAATCTTACATTGAGATATATGGTTGGTGCCTGAGAAGATCTGTGAGCATTTGTTTGCACATACAAATTGTGGGGAATTTTAGCCAGAAATTTAAGCAATATATTCTGACATGCCTATATGATGTCAATTAGTGCAATCGAGTTTGCAGGTTTGTATGACAAGCTATGTCTGCATTTACAGTAGCCAAATCTGTCTGGTGAAAGTAGTTTGAGTAGCCCTGACCTGAATATCAAAGGCAGCACAATCTTCCCATTATATTTTATGACCCCATTGACTATAATGGGAAGATCGTGCCGCTACTGCTGCATGGGGGGCGGGGAGCTGTGCCTGCTCCTGGGCTGCTGGAGTGGTGCTTCGGCACGCTCCGGCCCCAAATAACCTCTGCTGTTGAGTATTGTAACCTTGACAAATTCATATTCCAAGCTAAGTACAGATTTCAGAAGGATCACTAATTCTTTTGCAGTGAGAGACAGGCAAATTTACTAACACCTAGAAAAGTCTTTTTAAAATGTTCACAATGTCATAACTATTGGCACTGTTATCTTTCTGTTTCATTTTCTAAATAAAATATATCAATTTATGCAGACATTTGGCCTTGGAATTAAATATCTGTTTCCTTTTTTTTCCCCAGTGGCCTTTTTGCTGGTAACTTCACAGAAACACACTATTTGGAAGATGGTACCAGTGCTGTTCTCATGCGTAATTACACGGTAAGATTTGTGACTTCTTGCCGTGAGGAGGCGAAATGATACTTTATCAGTAACAGACTGGTAAGAGAACCATGTTCATACAGTGGTTGAAGCTATATTGAGCTTTAGATTACTGTTTAGGTAGTTTGCTGGCTCTTTTGTTGCAAAATCACATTTGTGTAGGATTGCCAACTGCAGGTAGGGAAATTCTTCGAGATTTTGGGGATGGAGTCATCTGGGGGGGGCTGGGAATGAGAAAAGAACGAAAAGAGTGAG